CCCCCCCCCCCCCCCCCGGCCTGGTCCCTCCCCCATAGATGGAGCTGAGGAGGGGCTGGGTCCCCAGCACATGCAGAGCCAAGGCTGCTTGCCCAGCGCTTCCTCCCCCCCGGCCCCCCTCCTGTTCTTTCCCTGCTCGCCACTCTGGGCACCCCCCCAGGCTCGCCTGGCGCTACCTGTGGTGCCCTCCGTGGAGACGGGCCCCAGGCGCTTCCCTTCGTGGAGGCCGTAGAGGAAGAACTTGTAGGCGGTGCTGGGCTCCAGGCCTGACACGTGCACCACGTGCTGGTCCCCACCCACGAGCAAGGCCTGGGGCTGCCTGTCCGCGTCCCAATACTGCACCACGAAGGAGTCGAAGGGGCCCCGGGCCACCGTCCATGCGAGGCGCAGGGAGTCCGGGGTGCTGTCGGTCACGGCCAGCTCCCCCAGGCGGGGCCCTCCGGGGGTGTCGGGGGCCCCTGTGGCAGCTTGCCAGGGGGCGGGTGCGTCCTCTTCTGGGGCTGGGGGAGAAGCCGGGGGGAGAAGCTGAGGGTGTATGTGCATGTCTGTGTGCATGTGAGTGCATGTCTTGTGCGTGTGTATTTGCATGTGTGCACGTGTGCATGTGCGTGTGCACACAGCAGGCCCTCCAACTCCATTGCATCGGCTCCTGAGTGGCCCAGGGCTGAGGTGGGGACCTGGCCATGGAAGCCAGGTGGGGAGAAGGGAGGGACTGAGGCCCTTCTAGCATCTTCTCTTGAATCTGCCACATCCCTGCGCTGGCCGAGAGGCCTGCCACCCTGGGCCTCCCTGGGCACCAACACTGTGGCCACGACTGCTCTGCGGGCTCCTCTGCCAGGTCTGAACTGGAGCTGCCAACCGTCTCCACCCATGTCTCCCCCACCCCCACTCCGTGCCGAGGGCCTGGGGATGGAGGTGGCTGGTGAAGAAGGGGCAAGCCTGGGGGGCTGCTGCTGCTCCAGGGGGGCTACGGGCAGAGGGGTGATTCTTAGAGCTGCCTACACCTCAGTCCTGGCAACTTCGGGGGCGTGAGGGTCTGGGAAAGGGTCCCTGAAGTGTGGCTCCAAGGACAGCGCCCGAGGGGACAGACCGGCTACCGGAGGCAGCCCTGGACTGCTGCCCCGCCCTCGCCGCTGTGGGCAGGTGCGGGACGTGCATAAAAGCACCTTGCGAGAGAGGGGTGGTGGGGCTGCTGAGAAGGGCCTTGCTTTCCCCTGACCCCCAGGCCCCGGGCAGAGAGGTGGCCAGAGCTGAGACGAGTTCCAAGCTCACGGCTCCCACCGCCCGGCCTGACCACTGCCTTGCTCTCTATCGGCCTGGCCTCCTCCCACCCACTTCCCCATCCCTTCGAGAACCCCTGGCCTCACAGGGTGAGGAGGGGCGGGAGGAGCCGGGGCCGAGCCGGGAGACCTGCTGCAGTGGGTGCGGATGGGGCTCGCGGGGAAGTCTGTCTCCAGTCCCCTCGTGAGTGTCCAGCGAAGAGAATTATGGAGCCCGAGGGCTCCTGGCCCCAACTGGCCATGCGCCCCACCCTTGTCTGTGGCTCGTGGTCCTGGAAGTGGGGGAGGGTCTGAGACCCCCTCCGCCCTCCCTGTGACACCAGACGCTCCCCATGTGGATGTTTACTGAGCTCCAGGAGCGTATTCGTAACCACTATGCAGGTGTGGGGACAGGGTCGGGGGGAATGGCTCGCCATGGCCACACAGCTGGCCACTGGGATCTGAACACAGGTCGGCTGGGCCCCGCAGGCTGGGCCCTTACGGCATCGCCAGCAGGGACTGGCGCGACGTGTGAAGTGCGGGCAGGGCAGGGGCCCGAGGTTTGCTTTGGGTGCTGGGACTGCCGCGCCTGGGCCAGCTCTGGGGAAGGTGGGAGCGGGGCTGGGCTCACCTGTGGTGCCCTCAGCAGTGATGGGGCCCAGCTGCTTCCCGCCTGTCAGCCCATAGAGCAGGAACCTGTACTTCCGGTGGGGCTCCAGGCCGCCGATGGTGGCCTCGCGCTGGTCCGCGGCCACGGGCACCACCCGGGGCTGCCCGTGTCTGTCCTTGTACTGGACCACGAAGGAGTCGAACTTGCCCTGGGGGACCGTCCACGAGAGGCCCACGGAGTCCGGGGTCACGCCTGTCACTGTCAGCTCCCCAGGCGCGGAGGTTTTGTGTCTGGGACTGGAAAGGAGAGAGAGGTGCATGGAGAATGACAGAAAAGGTGACAGAAGCAGAGCTTCCTCGGGGCCACGTGTCAGGAAGGGGAAGCAGAGGAGGGACAAGAGAGCAGCCGGGAAGCCCAGCCGCCACGCACCGAAAGGTCACCGGTTCGATCCCCAGTGGGGGGCGTGCAGGAGGCAGCCCATTGATGTTTCTCTCTCATCGTTGATGTTTCTCGCTCTCTCTCCCTCCCCTTCCTCTCTTTCTAAAATCAATAAAAACTCTGGGGATGGAGCCTGCAACCCGGGCATGTGCCTGACCAGAATCAAACCTGGGACCATTCAGTCCTCAGACCGATGCTCTATCCACTGAGCCAAACCAGCTGGGGCAATAAAAATATATTTTAAAAAAAGAGGAGCCAGGGAAGAAGCGGTGTCCCTCGGGATAAGAGGTCAGGGAGAGGGACGGGTGCGGTAGGGAGAGCGCGGGACTGAATTTCACGGACCCGGTAAATACATGGGTCTGGAGGCCCCAGGGTCTGGAGCAGTGATGCGAACCTATAACATGCGTGTCAGAGGTGACATGAAAACTCATTTTTTTGGTTGATTTTTCTTTGTTAAATGGCATTTAAATATATAAAATAAATATCAAAAATATAAATCTTTGCTTTACTATGGTTGCAAATATCAAAAAATTTCTATATGTGACACGGCACCAGAGTTAAGTTAGGGTTTTTCAAAATGCTGACACGCTGAGCTCAAAAGGTTCGCCATCACTGGTCTGGAGCGGGGAGCACAGAACATGACCTTCCCACCGTTGCCACAAGGGGGCGAAGGATGGCCAAAGGCTCCAGGGCGAAGGTGGCCTTTGGCCGCACTCACGGGTCTTAGCGTCCGCAGAGAGTGGGCCGTGCCTTTTCGCATCCTGCACTCCAAAGAGTAGGAATTTGTACTTGCGGGCAGGGGCCAGGCCCGAGATGGTGACCTCCCGGAGGTCTCCGCCCACGGGCACTGCCTGGGGCTGCCCCTGCTCGTCCCTGTACTGGACCAGGAAGGAGTCGAAAGGGCCCTGGGCCACCATCCAGGACAGGTGCACCGAGTCTGAGGTCACGGCGGCCACAGCCAGCTCCACCAGGCGGGGTGCCCCCGGGGGCTCCGAGGGCAGGGCGTCTGGAACAGAGCAGAAGAGGCTCAGGGTTCTACAGCCTGAGAGAGGGGTCCTTTCTGCCTACGAAACAAACATGGGAGCAAACTGCTCTCAGGTGAGCACGGGGCCCAGGACAGGGGCAGGTGCCGCTACCCCGGCAGCCCCACTGTGGGGAGGGCTGCAGAGGGAGCAATCAGCGTGATAAAGGGCCCATGCCTTCAGAGCAGGCGCAGGCACGGACGGCCTGACTCCACCCACCGGGGAGCCACCCCACGGCCCAGCCAGGGGCCTGGGGAGGCCGCACAGCAACACAGCAGCAGCCAGAGGCTCCCATCCAGGGAAGGAACGAAGCTACTGGATGAGGCCGGGGTCCAGGACACTGACAGAATGACCACAGTCTCCACCATCCTCACACATTCGAGGAAGGAGAGGGCCCGGCCCTGTGTGAGGAGTGCGGGCCACTGAGAGGAGCAGAGCGAACTGCGTCCCGCCCCACTCACCGGTCAGGCCCAGGGTGGACGCGGGGCCCACGCGCCGCCCCCCGTGCAGGCCGTACAGGTGCATCTTGTACTTGCGTCCCGGCTCCAGGCCCCGCACGGTGACCTCGCTCTCCTCACCCCCGACACGCACCACCTGGGGCCGCCCGTCCCTGTCCTTGTACTGGACGGTGAAGGCGTCGAAGTGGCCCCGGGGGACGGTCCAGGACAGGCTCAGCGAGTCCGGGGAGGATCCCGTCACCGTCAGCTCCCCCAGCAGGGGCTCCTCAGGGGGCTCGGGGGCCTCCGTGCTGGGTTCTGCGGGGCTGGGGGTCTCCTCCTCTGCAGCTGAGAAGCACAGACACAGGGCGGGTGAGGCAGGCTCCATGGAGATGTGCGGGTCTCCTCCCGAGCCCTGGTCACTTCAGGGAGCCCCTCGGGGCAGCCTCACTGACATGCCCAGAGCCTGGGGTCGGCTGTGGCCGCAGCCCCCGCACAGCCCAGGGGCCCTTCTCTGCCCAGGGCCCCGCTGGTGCTCAGGGAGCCCAGGGGAGGCACAAGGTCACCACGGCTCAGCCTCGAGCAGAGGGGCCCTGCACCCCCTCAGCCATCACGAGTGTCATCTCCCGCAGGTCCCACCGGGGCTCCCACCACCCACTCACCTGTCACCCCGGTGGCAGTGGCGGGGCCCTGGCGCTGGCCGTCGTGGAAGCCATACAGGTGCATCTTGTACTTGTGGTCCGGCTCCAGGCCCGAGATGGTGACCCCGTCCTCGTGTCCCGGCACCCGGACCGCCTTGGGCTGCCCGTCCCCGTTCTTGTACTGGACCAGGAAGTGGTCAAACTGGCCCTGGGGGACGGTCCAGGACAGGCTCAGCGAGTCCGGGGAGGATCCCATCACCGTCAGCTCCCCCAGCAGGGGCTTCACGGGAGGCTCAGGGGTCGTGGTGGGTGGGACTTGGGTGGTCACAGCTTCGTAGTCCTGTTGCTGGAAGAGCTGGGAGACGCCCACCCTCCTGGTCCAGGCCAGAAGGGGCCGGCTCTGGCCTGACAAGTCCCCTTTCTGGTTATGATCACCCAAGTCTTTCCTTTTGGTCCGTCCGACCGGCCAGCCTCCTGCCTCGGGGCCTGGCCTGTTCCCTCTGCCCACATGCTCCTTCCCCAGATGACTTCATGGCTCATCTCGATGCTCCTTTAAGTCCTGTTCAAATGTCACTTTTTCTTCAGGACCTCCCACCTGTTTAAAGTTTCATTCCTCCCAATTGGAACCTACCTTCCTTTTTAAAAAATTATTATTTTTTAAAATAATTCTTTATTGTTGAAAGTATTACATAGGTCCCCTTTTCCCCTCATAGACCTCCTCCAGCCTGCCCCCGCTCCCCACCCAGGCCCTCACCACCCCACTGTCCGAGTCCGTGGGCCATGCATTTATGCATAAAGGTCTTGGTTGATTACCTCCCACCCTCCCACCCTCCCCCGCCTTCCCTCTGAGTCCCCCACGCTGTTCCAGGCTTCCATGACTCTGGATCCACTCTGTTCATCAGTTTATTTTTGTTGATAAACATATGAGTGAGATCATGTGGTACTTGTCTTTCTCTGACTGACTTATTTCACTTAGCGTGATACTCTCCAGGTCCCTCCATGCTGTCTCAAAGGGTAAGAGATCCTTCTTTTTTACTGCTGCAGAGTATTCTATGGTGTAGATGTACCACAGCTTTTTACCCACTCACCTACCGATGGGCACTTGGGCTGTTTCCAGATCTTAGTTATTATAAATTGTGCTGCTATGAACATAGGGGTGCATACATTCTTTCTGATTGGTGTTTCAGGTTTTTTAGGATATATTCCTAGAAGTGGGATCACTGGGTCAGATGGCAGTTCAGTATTAAATTTTTTGAAGAAACTCTGTACCGTTTTCCATAATGGCCACACCAGTCTGCATTCCCACCAGCAGTGCAGGAGGGTTCCCTTTCTCCACATCCTCTCCAGCACTTGTCATTTGTTGATTTGTTGATGGTAGCCATTCTGACAGGTGTGAGGTGATAACTTATTGTTGTTTTAATTTGCATTTCTCTGATGATCAGTAACTTTGAGCATTTTTTCATATGTCTCTTGGCCATCTGTATGTCCACTTTGGAGAAGTGTCTATTTGGGTCCTTTGCCAATTACTTAATTGGATTGTTTGTCCTCCTTTTGTTAAGTTGTATGAGTTCCTTATATATTTTGGAGATTAACCCTTTATTAGATGTATCATTGCCAAATATGTTCTTCCATGCAATGGGCTCCCTTTTCATTTTGTTGATGGTTTCTTTTGCTGTGCAGAAGCTTTTTATTTTGATGTAGTCCCATTTGTTTATTTTCTCTTTAGTTTCCTTTGCCCTAGGACAGTGATGGCAAACCTTTTGAGCTCGGCGTGTCAGCATTTTGAAAAACCCTAACTTAACTCTGGTGCCGTGTCACATATAGAAATTTTTTGATATTTACAACCATAGTAAAACAAAGACTTACATATTTTTTTTAATATATTTTATTGATTTTTCACAGAGAGGAAGGGAGAGAGATAGAGAGTTAGAAACATCGATGAGAGAGAAACATCGATCAGCTGCCTCCTGCACATCTCCTACTGGGGATATGCCCGCAACCAAGGTACATGCCCTTGACCGGAATCGAACCTGGGACCCTTCAGTCCGCAGGCCAACGCTCTATCCACTGAGCCAAACCGGTTTCGGCAAAGACTTATATTTTTGATACTTATTTTATATATTTAAATGCCATTTAACAAAGAAAAATCAACCAAAAAAATGAGTTCGCGTGCCACCTCTGACACGCGTGTCATAGGTTCGCCATCACTGCCCTAGGAGATGTATCTGTAAACATGCTATGAGAGATGTCTGAGATTATGCTGCCTATGGTTTTTTCTAGGATTTCTATGGTTTCACGACTTACATTTAAGTCTTTTATCCAGTTTGAGTTTATTCTTGTGTATGCTGTAAGTTGGTGGTCTAGTTTCATTTTTTTTGGCATGTATCTGTCCAATTTTCCCAGCAGCATTTATTGAAGAGATTGTCTTGACTCCATTATATGCTCTTGCCTTCTTTGTCAAATATTAATTAAGCATAATGGCTTAGTTTGATTTCTGGGGTCGCTGTTCTGCTCCATTGATCTATATGCCTGTTCTTGTGCCAGTACCAGGCTGTTTTGATTATGGTGGCTTTGTAGTATAACTTGATATCTGGTATAGCGATTCCTCCAATTTTATTCTTCTTTCTCAAGATTGCTGCAGCTATTCAGGGTCTTTTTTGGTTCCATATAAATTTTTGGAGTATTTTTTCTAGATCTGTGTAATATGCTGTTGGTATTTTAATAGGGATTGCATTGAATCTGTAGATTGCCTTGGGTAGCATGGACATTTTAATGAGGTTGATTCTACCAATCCATGAACACAGTGTATTTTTCCACTTGTTTATATCTTCTTCTACCTCTTTTTTCAAATTCCTATAGTTTTCTGAGTACAAGTCTTTTACCTCCTTGATTCAGTTTATTCCTAACTATCTTATTTTTTTTTGTTGCAATGGTAAATGGGATAGTTTGTTTAGTTTCTCTTCCTGGGAATTCATTATTGGTGTATAAAACAGCCATTGATTTTTGGGTGTTGATTTTGTATCCTGCTACATTGCCAAATTCACTTATTAAATCTAGTAGTCTTTTGGTGGAGTTTTTAGAGTTTTCTATGTACAATATCATGCCATCTGCAAATAATGAGTTTTAGTTCCTCCTTTCCAATGTGGATGCCTTTTATTTCTTCTTCTTGTCTGACTGCTGTGACTAGGACCGTGGTCGGCAAACTGCGGCTTGCGAGCCACATGCGGCTCTTTGGCCCCTCGAGTGTGGCTCTTCCTAAGCCTTAGGAGTACCCTAATTAAGTTAATAACAATGTACCTACCTATATAGTTTAAGTTTAAAAAATTTGGCTCTCAAAAGAAATTTCAATCGTTGTACTGTTGATATTTGGTTCTGTTGACTAATGAGTTTGCCGACCACTGGACTAGGACTTCCAGTACTATGTTGAATAAGAGTGGTAAAATCAGAAAACCAGTTTTAAGTGCAATAGAAAAAATAAACCCTTGCTGCTGGGTAGAGAAGCCATATAGCCTCAGAGGCCAACCCCAAAACACTTCCACCCAGAGGCTGAGCCACAAACTGACTCTTAGGTGAACACAAATTAAGGCAGTCTGGGTCACAAATACGGCCTGCTTTAAAATCAGGACTGTGATTTACAACACGGAGGAACAGTGTATCGCAGGGAAATTCAACACTCTCCTGAATACCTGGCAGGACTAAGGCGAGCCAGGCTGAAGAGTAGAAGAACGGAAAGACCTTCACTACTGCAAATATTTTTTTCTTTTTTTTTTTTTGCCTTTTAACTAAGAAACCAATTTTTTTCTTTTTCTTCTTTTTCCATCACCTGATTTTACCCTTTTAATTACTACATTTTTATTTTTAACCAGTATTATTACTGCTACCATTTTACCATTTTTTAAAGTGCCATTTTATTTTTTCTCTTTTTTTTATTTTGGGAGTAGTGTTCTCCATTCTATTTTCATCGTTCCTTTAGCATCAATTTTCCCTACCTCAATTTTACCTCTATGCTAAAACCCTCTTCCTCACTTTTCCCCATTTGGTGTCCTGTTTCTCTTACCCTATTCCGCTTTAGATTTTCCCTATTCCGTCTTTTTACCCCCTGTATAATTTCACCCTACTTATATATCCTATTTCCAATCCACTGCTCTAAATCCTTATACACCTATCCCTTATCCTTCTTCACTATCCAAACATTTTTTTTCTCTTATCTTTCTATTGTTTTCTTGCTGTTTGCTTGATTGTTGAATATATTGTGTTTTTTTTGTTTGTCTGTGTTTTTTTTTTTTTGCTTGTTTTGTTTTGTGTTTTTTTTTTCTTTTTTAGGACTGGTTGTGAGGTTGTTTTTCTTTTTCTTTTTATTTTTTTCTGCTGGTTTTTCCCCTCCCTCCCCTCCCCCACCCCCCGGCTATTTTTGTGCTTCTGTTTTCCCTTGCCTCTCTTGATATCATTGGTTGTTTGTAGTTTGCATTCATCTCCAGGGATCTGTTGCTGGAATTTGTTGAGATTAGTGGCAGTTCTATCGGAGTTTTCTCCTCATACAAATAGTCTCTTCCCCTCTTCTACTTCATTCTCTCTTTTTGCTCTTTTTATCCCCCCTTTTTTTCCCAATTTCATTTTTGCACTTCTTTTTTGTTTATTTTTCTTATTTTTTTTCTTTTCCTTTTTCTCTTTTCTCTTTTTCTTTTCTTTCCTCCTTATCACCTAATTCTCTTAATTCGGGTGGTCACCTTTATTTGGGGTTATTAATATCGTGAATATATTTGTGTTCAGTGCCTGGTACGTTGTGCCTTGTTGTGTTGTATTTTGTGCCTTTAAATCAACGCAGCAGATCCAAGCAACAGCAGCCTCCTGATCACCACACCCTCTGTCTGAGGAACAGCAGCTGTACGTGAAGCCTCCCACCACCAGCCAGAAGAGCCACCACAGCTGTGAACAGCACCCACCAGAGGAGCTGCTGCCAACTGAGGAGCAGTTGCTACTGCAACCACCCAAGGAGCAACCACAGCCCAAGGAGCCACTGCCACCCAGGGAGCAGCCACTGAACGACTCAACATCTAGATATGTCAGTGAGATCAAACATGGGTAGGCAAAGAAACCCCCAAAGGAAAGAAAAGGAGGACTCGCCAGAAAAGCAGCTAAGTGAGACAGAGGCATGCAACATGACAGAAAAAGAATTCAGAATAAGGGTCCTAGCATGCATAAACCAGATGGAGGAAAAAATCAACAACATATGCAAGAAGCAAGATGAAACAGATGAAAAAATCAACTACTTATGCAAGAAGCAAGAAGAAACAGATGAAAAAATCAATAACTTTTGCAAGACCCAAGAG